TGAGATAAACAAAAGAGGCAGTTTTAATGTAAAGTAGTGAATGAAATGTTGATACAGCAGGGCTGAGGGGCAGGCACAGAGTAGAACACAGAAACTGACCCAGTTTGCAGAGATGGGGGTGGTAGGAGTCCTGGGGAGAAGACCACGTCTGAGCAGAGGCATAAGGGGTGAGCAAGAGTTGGGCAAAGGGAATGGGAGTCAGAGCATTCTGGGCAGAAGGAACAGTGTTTGCAAAGCAAAGACGGGAGCAACAGCAGAATATGGTGCACGCCGGAATGACAAGCAGCTTGGTGGTGTAGAAATTTAAACAGGAGGGTAAGAAATGGGGCAAAATAGGCTAGAGCAATAGAACGGAAGCAGACAGCAAAGGGATTCCATAGAGAAGGCCTTGGACCTCACCCTACGGATGCTGGAGAACCCCGACAGATGTCGATCATCAGAATGACTGTGAGGACAATGAGCTCGGCAGGAGCCTGGAGTCAAGGAGACCAGGAAGAGCACCTCTAAGGCAGAAAGAAGATGCCGCTCCAAGGTCAGGGTTGACAAGGTCGGGAGCTGAGCAGGCCTGGGGACTGCCTGGATGTGGGGGGCAATAGGGGGAAGAGCTACGGATGGAGTGTGCATACATTCTTCTTGCGGGTGGAGAATCAGGTGGAAGTCTCTTCTTTGTTCTCCAGGAAGAGATGATGAATTTGCTTTCTGACATGAGTTTGAGGTGTACATGGGATACATGGGTTGAAATGTCAGTCTAAAAACTCACAGGAGCAGTGGGAGTAGTCTGGGTTAGCGATAATGACTTCATGGTCAACAGCCATAAAATGGTGCCAGGAGGAGAAGGCCCAGGATCAACTGTGATGGTGAGAAAGGCAGCGGGCAGAGGAAGGACCCCTGGAAAACACCAACATTTAATAGGAAGACGGAAGGATGAGGCTGTTAAAAAGACTGAGGAAAAAGTCAAAGAGCTAGAGAGCCAGATGTCACAGAAACCAAGTGCACAGAGTTTCAAGAAGCCATGAATGAGTGACCACCACCATCAAATGCAGTAGAGAGAGGCCCACTAAGTTGAGGGATGAAAAGTGGACACGTCATTTAACATCTTGGAGGACATAAGTATGCATCCTGTTCGACTCCTTGGTTGCAGATGACTGAATCCACTCAAGTTATTTTAAACAGAAAGGTATTTATTAGAGGGTATCCATGTATATACACTCTCCAGGAGGCCACAGACACAGGTTTGGACGTCTTTCCACCAGGAACAGCAACAGCAGCTGGGACAAACACCCACCTGCATCACAGGATGGTAATGGGGGAAACCTACTCTGCCACCACTTCACTCTGCTCAGCCCCTGTGACCAGTGACTAGAACCTTCACCACAGATGCACCAGATGAAGAAAAGCTTCAGCCAGGGTGCCTACCAGAGCCACTCTTTCCCAGAGTAGCTTCATTCTAAGATGAACTTGCTCCATCTCACCTAACTGAATGCTCACCTTCAGACTTCCAAAAGCTCACTGTCCCGTTATCTAGGTCATCCGCAAACGATACTTCTGCGCAACATAAAATGAAGATGGAGTCCAAAAAAGCAAGAATAATCTTTATTCCTTGGAAACACATCGGTAAAAATGTATCAGTAAGATTAAAAGTTTCGGAACACATTTATTTGTATGCAGCACAAACACTGAGGATCAAAACATCTGCTAAAACGGAAAACACCTGTAAACAGATATCTTAGGAAAAGTTTATAGGTGACTGACTCTACTGTGCAGGGCGTGTAGCTGAGTCCCTCCCTCTGGACAGATTTTTGTGGCAACCAAAAATAGATCAGATTTTAGCAATAAAATATCTCAAGAGATGTCACTACATTTTTTTTAAAAAGCTTAAAATGGGCCAAATTACAATTACACATATGGAAATGGCGTTTAAGAATTGTTTTCACAAAAATACTAGTGAAAAATATCTCAGGTCTATCAAGAGAAAAAAATGTTTGACTTGTGGCTCGAAATGGGGGGAAATAAATATTTCAGTACAAGTTCTACCCTCAAACACAACACACTGATTAGCTGGAACTACGAAATGACTGCATGACACCCACCCCATCCTATTCTATGGGATGCTTTGGCACAACTTTATTAAAATCCTATATACTTTAATTTGAGCCATAAATGGATCTTGGATTGCATGTTACTTTTTTAAAGAGTGAAGTCCAAGCCTCAAGTTCTATAAATTCTGACAGTGTATTCATAATCATGTCTTCTGAAATCATGCAAGTTAGCAGCACCAATCAATAATTTAAAAAATCATTCTCGTACTTGAGCAAATGGATGCGATGCAATTTGTGATTAGTAAATCTGCTAAGATTCAAAGTGGCCAGACTGCTTTCAGATAGGAAATTCAGAGCCTCCCCGTACACATGTCCCACCTACCCAGTTATATACTTTATTCGGCTTCTGAAAGGGGTAACCCTCTGTTAGAGAAGGGGATTTTGCAGTTTTCCCTCTGAGAAATTTCGTTGGAATGTTAGATCCTCAGACTGAAAATATTAACTTTTCATAGATCACAGAATTGTAGAGCTGGAAGGAGCTTGGCGATCATTTTGTCTAACCCACTCTTTTCAGATGGGGCAAAGGAGGCCACCAGAGGAAAAGGGCTTGTCCACCCTCTGACAGTGGCCGGGGCTGGGCCCCAGCAGCCTCCTCCTCACCCCAGGACTGTGCAGTGCTCTCCGCAGAGCTATCTTCCCATGTTCTCCTGGTGTTATTTGGTCCCGTTCATTAAATAAAGAAATATCAAGTACATAGCAATACGATCAACACAGACTTTTGCTCCAATTTTAAAATCAGAATGTTAAAATGATTCCTGAGCCTTTTAACTACCTTCATTTTATTGAGAATGCAGTCAACAGTAAAATACGACTAGTGATTGTGGTTGTTTGCAAATATTTATATGGATGCCGGGAACACTTCTCAGAACTTTTCCGCAAAGACACTTGTGCAAACACGTCTATGTGATGCCAAGACACTTTTCGTGGGATGTAAGGACATTGTGATGGTGAATGGAGGTGAGATGCTTCAGTCTCTCAAAGTGCAGTCATGAGTTTATCTCGATACACCATACTTTGCATTCCTCCTAAGTTCTTCTGGTTCTGGTCGTGGACATAATCGAAATGGCTGCCACCTCCACTGGCCGACTTTTCCCAGTGCGGTGGCCTGTCATCCTGAAAGCATGGCCTGTTTTGTTGGCAGAGTGAATGGTTAGCGGGAGGGATGAAAGAAAATTCAGAAATGTGAGTGAAACAACACAAGTATGAGGGAGGTGGGCAGGAGAAACCATGAGCTGTATCAATGGGGATGGCTTACAGATGGAAACGAATGGGTTTTCTAAGGTATTTTTTTTTAAATTCAGAATGCAGGTTATCTATCAACGTCCATGTCAAGAGAAGCCCGCTCCACGGCCATACCATCATTTCTCAAAGGGCACCTTGCTGAGCAAGTCAGTCTGAGGAAAGTCAGGTGACAAGGGGTCCTTGGCCAGGCACCGTTGCCAAGAGTGCTGGGCCAAGGAACTCTCTTTTCCTGGGGTAGGTATCTCAGTCTTCTCTAACTTTGGAGAGCCTGATAAAACACAGAGTGCTGGGCCCTACCCCCAGACACTGATCCAGCAGGGTTGGGGTGGGGCAAAGAATGGGCATCAGCGAGCTCGCAGGGCAGGCCAATACCCCCACAGAGGACCCTTTTGTGGCCTCCCACAGAATCCCCTTTGCAAACTGCTGTGCAAGGTTGCGCCTCAGAAGGAAACTAAGGTGGTAAAACAGGCACTAAAAAGTCTAAAATTCTATAAAAATAAGGTCAATAAAAATAGCATTTCTAGAAATCTCTTCTGTTTTCTTCTGTCTGGAAAAGAAACTGCCTTTGCAATACAGAAACATTTAGAGTTATTACTCTGCTGGGCTGACTAGCTTTAAAAAGTTACCCGAGTATCAAGTGTTGTTGATAAAACTGCACTGCGATCCTCCTCCAAGGTCTCCCAACACAAGTGGCAAGAACCATCAAGAACTAATTGCTCTCTTTTGCCTTGCTCCACATGGATTTATTTTCATCACTCCATTCTCTCCATACTTTCTCAAGCAGCAAGGCTAGCAACCTCACCAAGAAATAACTTTATGCAAAGTGAATTCACCAACAGAAAGAGCCTCACACACAAACACCAATTAAGACTGATCTAAAATTCAAATCTGCAAAGGAACGTTTGCCTTTACAAAGCTGGCATCAAAACTCTCAAGCCTGATGAAAAACCCAGCAAGGCAGGTGCCAGTTTACTTGGAAAGGATTGTGGTGGGTTAGGGCAGAGGTGAGAAAACAGCCCTACGGGGCTAGATCCCACCCACTTATTTTCGTAAATAAGTTTTTTTGGAATGCAGCCTCGCCCATTCACTTTTGGGTTCTCTCTGGCTGCTTCGGAGTTACAACCGCAGAGCTGAGTAGTTGTGACAGAGACCACAAAGCTGAAAAGACTCGTTATCTGGCTCGTAACAGAGAAAGTTTACTGACCCCTGGGTTTAGAAAAAAGATCTACTGTCACACACAAAAAACAACCCCCCAGTCGAACCCTGAAAAAAACATCCTTTCAAAAAACCCACAACAAAAATCCCCAAGCTTGAGGCACATTTTTAGTAACAGAATTCTTGGGACAGGAAAATGTTACTTAGAAATTTTAAGTAACATTTCTAACACAAAACCAAACCAAAAATATCTGAGGTTAGAATGCCTAAAAAAAAACCAAAAAACAAAACCCAATTCATTTTTATTTCAAAAAGCATAACTTTGGTAAATCCAGACTCATCACTGGCTTCCTTTGCTTGGCAAATTATTAATCTCTGCCATGACACGGCAACCCTTAACAGCTGTTTCTGATGCAGACTTTTGATTCCCAAGTAGGTAGAATTCGAGTTTTTCCAAAGGGAGAACTTTCGAGAAAGTACAGCTCTGTGAGCTCAAGCACTTACCTTACATTTGGAGAGTGAGGGTGCCACCGAGGCTGGCTGGGGTGGATATTGGGATGGTACTGAGGCTAGAAATGAAATACCAAACTTGATTATTCGATGACCTTTTGATTTCAATGGCCTTCATTTACTTTCCCTTTTACTGGCATCTAGCTGAGGGGCCCAGGGCTGTGAATGGAAAGGCTCTAACGAAACCCTGGCTGGGAGGTGGCTTCCCAGGAGGATCACGTTTCCCCCACGACAAAGGGTGGGGGGATGGGGAAGGCATCTGCCCAGAAAGGGTCCCCTAGAACCCCCAGGACAGGCAATATCCATCTCCCTCAAGGGAACAGACGGAAGACACCCAAGATAGGGGGCGAATGGTAAGTTCAGAAACGATTTTCGTCATCGCTGAGAATGACAACAACCGTGCCTCAGAGTGGCTTCTGCAAATGCAAGAGAACTGGACAGGGACACCAAGGCAACAGGACTGTGGGCGGTCTCTTTCTCCCTTGTTTAAGCAGCAAGAATATTTTTCTAAAATATGATCCAAAACCCAGTACCAAACCTCACCCCCCACCCGGTTGCCATCAAAAATAAACAAAACCCCAAACCACCCAGAGCACTTATTATCCTGATGGATGGATGGATGGATGGATGGAAGGAAGGAAGGAAGGAAGGAAGGAAGGAAGGAAAGAAGGAAGGAAGGAAGGAAGGAAAGAAGGAAGGAAGGAAGGAAGGAAGGGAGGGAGGGAAGGAATTTGTCCGTTGAAAGATGGGAAAACAGATCCAGACTGGTGACTCACAAAAGGACCAGAGGTGAAGACAAGGCAGGCCTAGCTGGGTAGTAGGGCCATCTGTCCACCTCTGGCCTGCAGAAGGCAGTGGCCCCAGACATGGCCAGAAGCCAAGGGGGCTTCTCAAGGCTAACTTTCTGTGCGGCACATTAGACCCTGCTGACTTTTAAGTCACTATTGTCTTGCCACCATTATTCTTTTAATTATTTCTTCCCCTTCTTCTCCTTTCCCTGCTGTTTTGGTTGATAAGCACAAACCTGTTCTGTATTGTGGAAAATTCTCAGTAATTCTGTTCATTCCATTTTCAGGAACCAAAGATGCCCTCCCTCCCTGCCTATTCTGTCTTCTAGTGGCCTCTCTCTTTCAAAGATACCTCTCAGCAAGCAAAGTGTACAGCCCCTAAAAAGACATGCTAGAGGAAAAGGATCCAGAGAAAAGATCTCAGGAGCTGAATCTGAGAGCGGACCTCTCTCAGGGAGACAGAGACCCAGAGTTTAGGTGGTTTGCCCAAAGCTGAATGCTTCAAGTGTTTTGGTCATACAGCCAGGCCCCAAATGAGGCTCCACCAGTTGGATCTCCAACAGAAGGGAATAATCTAGAAGAGAAATGGACCTCCTATTCTATTCCCTGTTTTCAAACACAATCAAATCAGATTCATTAGTGCAAGGTGGGTACCTCATCCATAAAGACCTGGAAGGATATTCCCAAAACTTCCTTTGTCTCCACACTCTAAAGCTGTCAAGGAGCATTTTTTAGTGTTAACCCAAATGGCTCTCACCAGGGCAGTTTTGTCCCCCTGGGGACAATTGGAAATATATATGTGCACTTTTGTTTGTCACGATGACGACAGGATTACCTTTAACTACCGGGGAGAAAGAGGTAAGCTAAACATCCTGTAACTCTCGGGACAGTCCCACAATGAAGAACTGTCCCTCCCCAAACGCCAACAGTGTCCTTATCAAAACCACAGCAATCCATCCTTCTTTGCAGCTGGCTGAGCTCGCAGAAAGATGGACAATGCAAGGCCATCCTCCTGAAAACCCTTCTCAGAAATCAGACGCTTACCTAGATCAGCCCACTTCTCAGGACGTTCTCTTCCTGGTCAATTCACTTCCAAACCTTGATAGAGCAACACAGAACCTCTAAGGCTTGGCAAGGGGTAGAAGACCAGGGGTTGCCAAAGATGTTATGAGAAGAACAACGTCTAGGTAACAGATTTTGTGCCTGGAGTTCAATGGACAACTGTTTCCATGTTCACTCTGGGCAGGGAAGGCTTTACTTCATTTTCATATTTTTTCATGCCTTCAAGCAGGGACCACCCATCCACAGCTCTTCCCTTCCCCCACAGCCAGCCTCTCACACCTGAAAATCCCTCCAAACCAAAAAGCCAACCTGTGACCGACAAGATTCAAGAACCTAAAGAAGGCAACGAGATTGGGAAACCTGGCTGTTCCCCTACCAGGTTCAAAGCACTTTTTACATGTTATTCCCCCAAACTCAGAAGTCATGTCCAAGTTCTGCACGTTGTGAAGATGATTTCACGTACAGAAGATGATATCACAAAATTCTTCTGAAACATACTTTGGAGACCTAGTCAAGATCACGTACATTGGGATCCCACCCCCATCTAAGGAATTAATATCTACAGTAACAAAAGATCAAGAAGGACACTAACTAAAATAATGCTCCTAGGAAAACCCCTTATGGAGTAGCTTCTTACTCGTGACATTCAAAACCAGACTGGTGAGAGGAGAGTAGTGTCCTTGGATAGAACCCACCCAGCACAAGAAAAATGGCCCAAGCGAGGAGGTCATCAGACACGGATGCTGCCTCTAAGCACAAACCTAGTGAGGGACACATTGTCAGTGCAGGGGGCGCCCCTCCCCCCGGCTGCTCATTAGAACCACCATAGGTGCTCAGAAGGTGTCTGATACCCAGACCCATCCTCAGAGCTTCTGATTCAATCAGTCCCGGGTGAGGCCCGAGCACTGGTTATGTTTTTAAAGCCTGCCAGATGTGCAGCTGCAAGATTGAGGACCACTGGTGTCAGTGATTATCAATCAGGAGGATCAGAGAAGGCTCCGTGGAGGAGGTGACTTCTGAGGAGGCTCTGGAGGATATTTTAATGTGCAGACAGGTAAGGGAATTTCAGGCAGAGAAACATGGACAAAGGAACAGTGGGAAGAAATTATGGGGCCACGATTATGTGCTTCTCTGGGAGCTGAACACATGATGTGTGATAAGGAGCTGGGAGGAGGGGGGAATAAATGTAGAAAAGCATGTTGGAGCCAGGTTGTAGAAGGCCATGAATGACCAGCAAGAGCCACCCCCAGGTATGGGTGGGTGGGCAGGCAGGGGGTGGGGGCCCTGCTTGGCCACCCGGTAGAAGAGCAGAACACCAGCCAGGGAAACTTCTCTGTGCTTCTTCTGCAGGCTCAACAGGCCTGGTACAATGCTCTATAAAGAAGGTTCTAGAAACCAATGCTCCACTGATATTAACAGATACACTATCCAAAAACCCAGCAGGCAGGGAGGTGAGGCTAGTTTTTTGGTTTTTTTTTTTAAAGGGGGGAGGGACTGTTCTATCGTCAAATGATTTGGGGAAACAATGGCTTAAAAAAAAAAGTGTCTTTTTTGGCAGGATTTCTCAGTACTTTTTTTTTTTTTAAGATTTTATTTATTTATTTGACAGAGAGAGA